AAGCACAGCAAAAGCATTTAAAATTATTAAAAAGGCTTGCATTGGGAGCTTATATGCCTCTGAGCCCAATTCAAGATGTTGGTTCTTACCTATAAAGCCCTGCACAGCTTGCAACCACTATACTTGATGGAATGACTCTTCCATCTGCAAACTATCCATGTACTAGGATCAACATTAGAGACCACCCTACTGCTGATTCTAATATCTTTCTGGTGCCAGTTTAGGATATGAGATGGCAATTAAATAGTTTTAATGTTATATTGCAGCTGCCAAACAAGTGTTATAGTTTAATTTGTGTAAACTATTGTAGGCTTTAAATTTGGTTCTAAATTTATTTTTTGTTTTTTAATTTGTTGTGGTATTTATATGATTTTTTTCCTGCTATCTGTATTTTTATATTGTATTTGTATTGCATTTTATGTGCTGCTGTAAGCTGCCCAGAGAGTTTGAGCTATAGTATAATATAGACATACTTTTATCATCATCATCATCGCATAAAACCATTTTAACAGCCTACTTAAAGGCCAAAACAGACATTGGTTTAAATCTGTATGTAGCAGCTATGTTTCTCTCTCTCTCTCAATGTTCAGAGTAAGTGCCTCTCACACAGATCTTAAAAACCCTTTATTCTCCATACTAAGGTAATACACTAGATCAGTCCTGCTTTTTCCTTACCCTAGAGTAGAAATGGGGAGAATGAGACATAGCTGAAAGATTCATATTTAAAATAATGTCTGTTTGACTCTAAAACTGAATAAAGAAGAGTGCAATCTAACCTTCTTAAAGAAATTAAGAAGTAGGTTCCATGGTTGGGGCAGTGCCAGAGAAAAAACGACTAAGTTCTCTTTGCAAACCTATATTCTCCTGGTGGTAGAATATAGAGAAATGCATTTGAAGCAGATCTTAAACTCTGGGTAGGCTTCTACAGGATGAGGCAATCCTTCAAATATCCTTCCTCAAACTGTTTAGGGCCTATAAACAAAGGACCCAACACAACTTGACAGTGCAGATTGGAAAAAACAAAGATGATTGTTGTTCTGGGGATAACTGTAAAAAATGTTTGTAGGTCATTGGGTAAAATCCAATAGGGAGGAGAGTTGTGAGGAGGTCACACAGTTTTGGTCAGAGGCTGTGTCCAGCAGAGAATAAATAAGAAACACAGAGAGTAAGTCACAAGGGGCCTCCTGGGCCATCTATCTGACCCCTGGCCCAAGTTGGCTCCACTCATCACATGCCTACCATGTGCATGTCCAGCCTATCCTTGAACACCTTCACTGATGGGGATTCAACCACTTCCTCTGGAAGTCCATTCAATACCCTCAGGGTCCTAACTGTCAGGAAGGACTTCCTGGCATCCAAATTGAACCTTGGTTCCCTGAGTTTTGCTACATTGGAACATGTCCTGCCTTCCTCTGCAGGGAAAAACAGGCCTTGACCCACCTCTGCATTACACATACTTATATGTCACAAACAGATCCCCTCAGCATCTCCTCTTCTCCAGGCTGAAAAGACCCAGTTCGCTCAGTCTCACCTAACACAGCTTTCCCTGCAAACTAGCCACTATCCTTGCAACTCTGCGCTGCACCAGACCACCATCCTGAAGTTTCCCCAGTAATAGTTACCCTCTGCTTTCAGTCAGTCAACCATGCCCTAATTCATCGGACGGTGCATCAGTCTATCCCAAAGCAACTCAATTTCTCAACCAGGATATCATGGGGCACTTTGTCAAAGGCCTTGCTGAAATCCAGGTATGCCACCTCCACTGTGTCCCCTCTGTCTAGCCACCTTGAAATCTTGTCATAGAACTCCACAAGGTTTGTCTGGCAGAACCTGGCCCTACATTCCCTGGCCCTGCAAAATAATATTCAGGAAATTAACAGCTACCTTTAAAAAATCTATAGATGTCCCAACTCCCCCAATAAAGTATGACACTTTTCTATCACGTTTGCATACACCAGTATGAGCTGTCATTCTGGCTACTGAAGTATCATATTCATAAACACTCATTAAGGCTGACTGTGGTTTAACTGCACAGGAAATGAATAAGCCCTATCACAAATCCTTTAAATTAGTTAATTAAAAAGAGGAAAAAGGCATATTACCATCTTGCTTTGAAGCACTTTACTTTGTAGTAGTGAGTTCTCCTTCCATTAATCTCCTTCCATTAGTTTTGATATATCACTGATGCCTTTCATTTGGGGTTCTGATAACCCAGGATGCAGCCATTTCCACATACCATTTGTATGGCACATGAAATGTATTATAAGTTTGATATACAGCCAACACAGTAAAGGAGTATTTAACTTCTTTTAACCAGGACTTGTAAACTACAGTTCTCAAGCTTAAATAATCCAACTGACTTCAGTGCCTGCTATTTAGCCAAGCGTACCAGTGTCCCCTATTGTCAGTTGTACTTGACAATTTCATTCTCTATTTTGGTTCTTCTTTTGTTAGAAAATAATTTTTAAATAAGTCTGCTTCTTGCACCCTAAACCTCTTTTTCTCCTATAGCTCCATACACTTTTGATTATTTCCCCCACACACACTTCATACATGTCCCATTCCTCCATTGGTCTCCTTTGCTGGTTATCAGATGTACGTTTATTTAAAATTTTAAAATGTTACATGTGGATTTCACAGCAGTGAGCAGGACATATACAAATTTTCAAGGGAGAGTGGGTAAAGAAATGTAAATTTCAAGACAGACAAGTGAGATGGATCTGCGGATACAGATAAATTTAAAGACTGCACAGTAACATAGAAACATAGAAACAGAGTGAGTCAGAAGGGGTCTCCCTGGCCATCTAGTCTGACCCCCAGCTCCAGCCAGCTCCACTCACAACATGCCTCCCATGTGCATGTGTAGCCTATCCTTGAACACCATCACCGATGGGGTCTTTACCAATGTATAATAATGTATACATTAATGGCCTCAACCAATAATGTATACATTTGTTCATTTCAAGGAAGGGCAATAAAACTGGAGGGAAATTATACAAAATTCCTAGCAGCTGATATTCACTCCTGTGCACTTGTGCAGGTTAGGAAAAAATGCAAATATGTTTGGGACTCTGTCTGCTATTCTTTCTTCAAGGTTTCAAGTGGAGGGAAACAACTGGGGTGAAGAGCATTTAAAAGAGAAGGAGAATGATGGTGGCACTAATGAGATCAATTGATAGGATCTGGGTGACTGCCTAGTGATTTCCAACAACCCACAATAAAATTGTCCTGCCAAACTCAGACACCACACAAGAAGTCACCCTCAGCAGGCCCACTACAAGCTATGGTTTCTCAGGATGGCTTGTTTTCACAAATGAAACAAAATGAAACAAAACAACCCATGATGGGGAAACCACTCCAGGTTTGGATGTCATTCAAAACCATCCTGCAACCAGCCACAATAGCAACTCACTGTGGCTTGATATGACTTGTGAAGCAGGTCATTATGGAAAACATTCCCCCAAAAGTAGAAAGCTTGAAAGCATTGCTCAAGGATCTGGCAGGGAAAGAGTGCCTTAGTAAAATATTAATCATGTGTTCATGTTTTATGGGGGATCAGACACACCCATAATGTTGCATTGGTAGAAGTAGCTTGTTGCCTGCAAATGCTCATGCTGCAGTAAATGTGGCATTATTAAAAGTATATCTGCCCTTTAGGAGTTTGTACTTTTCCAGAGGGTGCTTTGTATTTCTTTCAAGAGTAACATAAACACTATTTATTATATTCAGGTAATCCAACTTCCACCAGCAATATGTCCTGCTCTGTGGAGAAAATCTGAAACCATGATGCCTCTTCAAGCAGATGTCAATTGGATGGGAATTGCATATGCTGTATAGATGCCAGGTGTTTGGCTGATGAAACAGCTTGAATTTGAAAACAATAACTGCAAATGCTGCATGTGTGTGTTCCAAAGCATGAAGTCACCGAGTCTGAAGATACTTGAGGAAAATCATAGCTCCTAGGAATTGTTATTTTTGAATGCCCACAGGCAACCCTGCATTCTGTAGACTTGGCAAATCATTTTCAAGGTCCCCAGTGTCATTAAAATGGAAAGTAATTTTGAACTATGATTGTGAAGTGATTAAGTTTGATTTTGATCCAGGGAAACTTGGTAAACAAAGCAGGCTTGATACAAGGCCATCACTCATCACTCATATACATAGAATGGTTTGATCCTTTTTGTAATACAGTTTGAAATGTTCCTTCTGCATTTCTATTTTACAGCATAATAAAATAGGGGGCATAGGATGTTCTGTTAAATGAAATTTGGATTTAAGATTATGCAAAAGCATGCTCACCATTTCTTTTTCCTTACCCAACAGTCTGTAAAAGGATATACTTCTGGGTGATTAAATAAATAATGCAGAAGAAAAGCAGTAGACCCTGTTTACCATACACAATGTGAGAGAATATCATTATGAAATAATTATCTAATGACAAGTGTCATTTTATTATTTTAACAGTCAGCATAAAAGTGAATGCAATATACTTCTACTACTAAATTCACTAACATGCCTCTACACATCTCATAGAAAGAGCTACATGGCTAAATCTTGACAATCAGATAGGTTTGTTTACAATTCATATGCATCAGCATCCTAGAGATTGAGTTAGGTGCCTTTAAAATAAATAAATGTTGTTGAACTATAAAGCATACGCTTGGAAGAAATATCAATGACCAGAAGTTAATTATACAGTACTAAGAAAGTCATTATGGATTAATTGCACTCCAGCAAGAGGTGTATTTAGAAATCACAAGGCAAAGGAATAATAGTGTGAATGATTTCTATACAGCATGGCTTTCATGAACAGTTTTTCCACTTCTGGTTTAATGATAGGAGGACAAAGATCTCTCCCACACACACCCAAACCCAAGAAACATTATGACTGCAGGCTAAACATGAGTCAGCAGTGTGATGCGGTGGTCAAGAGGGCGAACGCCACCCTTGGTTGCATAGCCAGAAGTGTGGCTTCTAGATCAAGAGAGGTATTACTACCACTCTACACAACTCTAGTGCGCCCACAACTGGACTATTGTGTTCAGTTTTGGGCCCCTCATTACAGAAAGGATATAGCCAGGTTGGAGTCAGTGCAGCGTAGGGCCACAAGGTTGGTGGCCGGTTTGCAGGGGATGCCGTATGAGGCGAGACTGAGGGAACTGGGTCTCTTCAACCTGGACAAGAGGAGACTCAGAGGGGATATGCTGGCGACATACAGGTATGTGAGGGGATGTCACATGGAGATGGGTAGAGACTGTTCTTCCCTGCAGAGGAAGGCAGGACACGCTCCAATGGAGCAAAGCTCAGGGAGCTCCATTCCATTTGGATGCCAGGAAGCACTTCCTGACAGTCAGGACCCTGAGGGTGCGGAATGGGCTTCCACGAGAGGTGGTTGAGGCCCCATCGGTGCGGGTGTTCAAGGATAGGCTGGACGTCCACATGGTGGGCATGTCATGAGAGGAGCCGGCTGGTGTCAGAGGTCAGACTAGATGGCCCGGGAGGCCCCTTCTGACTCACTCTGTTTTCTGTGTTTCTATTAACATTATCTTCTGGGTTGCGGGGATAGCACAGCCATGTTACATCTGTATAGAATACATAATAGATCTCCAATACTTAAAAGTTGTATAATATTCTCAGTCAGCAGCAAAAGTGGCACTTCTCCCTGTATTTATTGTTATTAAGTGGGAATCTCCAAAATCACCTTTAAAATATGCTTAAATAAAATTTGGTAACAGCTTTACTTTCTGCTTGGATAAAGATCTAATCATTCTCAGAAGGAACCCTAAAGAGACCTAAATTACAGGATTAAACAGCAGACAGAACTAAGTATGTTTTCAGAACTGTATATATGGTATCCTGGCTGGTTGCCACGTATCCCATTTTGAATAAATACTTAGCCCTTCTTGCTTTTTATCCAGCCTAAGCAGGATTGTCAGACCTTTTCAGCTCAAGAGTCAAATTCTATTTCAGATATTCTCTGAGGTAATATTCCAGTGGTAGGTGAAGCTGAAGACAAATGGGCTGTGGCCAATAGACAAATAATATCAGCATCTTTTAGTTAAAACATCTTACTTCCAATAAGGAAGTCATAGGAGAGGCATTTCAATGTTTAAAAATGGGCAGAAAACAGCGTAAACTCCAGGAAGCTACCAAGCAGGAATTGGGGAGAAAGTGACCAAATCAGGGAAGAACTGAGGCTACCAGGAAACTGTGGAGGACAACACTGTGACTCCAGGTGGGTCACTTGCCATCCACCGACTCAACAACTCTAAATTTAAGGATCTAATGTAGTAGGGTCCAATGAGAATCCCACTTAATACACTGGAGAATGCCACAGGGTAGGCATTACCTGATTAGATGGACCAGTGGCTTGACTGAGGATAAGGCAGTGACATAATTCTTCATGTTTTCTGTGAATTCTTGCTAGGAAATCTTTGTGGAAACTGACCATTTGAACAAATTAAGTTACCATACACTGATAGAGCAACATTAATTTATTCTAATCTGGTCCTATAAGGATAAAGAGTGCACTAGAAAAATGTTTTAAAATAGATAAATAATGTTCATCTAGCTTGCTGCACTGGAAATTTGAGGAAAATGTCTTTACCAGCCTTGCAGCATGATATGCCAGCTCAGGATTCCAGGAACACATGAGGCCTGATGAATGCAGATTGTGTGCTCTCCTGATGAGAGACACCCCTGTTTTTGTACCCAGGTTTTGATCATGCCCACTGCCACATCATCCACTTCTAAATTCAGAAATGTGATCCTGGAGGCCAGGCACAATGATCCCAATGCACACTCAGAAATCAAATCCAAGGAAAGAAGACAGATACTACAATCTGCTTCAAGCAGGCCCAAAATGTACAAATGCCTAACTTACTAATTCATAAATTTTCAAAGAATGAAATGGCAAAGCATAACAGATTCAAAAGTTAATTCCATTCATATATAATACAAACACACTGTCTGCACTGTATGAAAGCTATAAATGGTTTCTTTGTAGTTGTTTCTATTGAAATACAGATAATTTCTTCTCATAATTATTATAGCTTATTTTCTGTACGCAAAGCAGGAGGGATAGAATATGCTTGTTATTGTAATGATGTATTTATTCCAAAGCTCAATTACAGAATGCAGAGGCTTCTGGATTTTGAAAAACTTCCAAATCCACTTTCATCTGAAGTCATTCATATTGAATTTTATTTTCCCAAAAGACGCAAGGTAAGAATGACATAGAAACCTGGAAACAGAGTGAGTCAGAACGGGTCTCCTGGGCCATCTAGTCTGACCCTGGCCCAAGTTGGCTCCACTCATCACCTGCCTACCATGTGCATGTCCAGCCTGTTGTCCCCTGTCCACTTCCATAGTTTGTCCAGATCCTTCTGGATCCAGAGTTGCTGCTCCTCAGTTGTGGCCATTGCCCCATTTTAATATAATCTGCAGATCTGATCAGAAGACTGGTCACCCCCTCTTCCAGGTCATTGATGACAAGATTGAACAGGATCAGTTCTAGGACAAAGCTCTGGGGGACCTCACTCATCACTGAGCGCCATCCTGAAAATTTCCCACTAACAGTTACCCTCTGCTTTCAGTCTGTCAACCATGCCCTAATCCAATTCAATTTCTCAACCAACTCTTCAATTTCTCAACCAGGATATCATGTGGCAATTTGTCAAAGACCTTGCTGAAATCTAGGTAAACCATATAGACGGTACCCCCTCCATCTAGACACCTTGAAACGTAATAGAATTCCACAAGGTCCATCTGGCAGGGCCCTTTTTGTGGAAGTCGTGCTGCATGGCCACCAACTTCCCTTCCCTATCTTAGGTTTTTAAAGGTTTCCCTATTATGAACCTTTCCATAGTCTTTCCTATAATGGACGTAACGGGCCTGTAATTCCCCATGTCCTCTCCACTACCCTTTCTGAAGCTTAAGATCACTGATGTCACCCTCCAGTCCTCTGGAAGCTCACCTATTCTCCACAAGGCCTCAAAAGTGGAGGCCAGCAGACGTGAAAGTACCCCTGACAACTCCCAAAGTACCCTCAGAGGCAACCTGTCAGAGCTTGGTGCCTTTGTAATGTCCAGTGCCCTGAGAAGCTCCGCAACTTCTAGGGGGTTGACTCTAATCAGTGCCCCTAAATCCATGGTTTCTGCCAGTCTTCCATGTAGCTGTCCTCCATCCTGCTTTGGGAAGAACATAGGGGCAAAATACTCATTTAGCATGTGTGCCTATTCCCTCACATGAGTCGCCCATTTCCCTTCCTCCTTACTAAGCAGACCCACCCCATGTCTCCCCTTCCTCTTGCTGTTTACATGTTCATAGAAGCCCTTTCTGTTGCCCCTGATGGTCTTTGCAACTCTCAACTCATAATCATAACAAAACATTCCTCATCCATGACTTAATTGTGGATGAGGGGGCTGACCTGGCTTGCATTACAGAGACCTGGGCAGGAGAGGGGGGGGATGTATCCCTCTCTCAACTGTGCCCACCTGGGTATCTGGTCTAGCACCAGCCACGTCCGGAGGGGAGGGGGGTCGCTTTAATTTATCGAACTCCTATTTCCCTTGTGGGGCTTCCTGTTCTCTCGAGACCAGGTCCAGAGTGCATATACCTGGCATTGGGTGACCAAGACAGATTGGGGATTTTGCTGGTGTACCATGCACCCTTCTGCCCATCAGACTCCCTGCCTGAGCTGACAGAGATCGTCCCGGACCTGATGTTGAGGATCCCCAGGATGTTGGTCCTGGGGGACTTCAATCTCCATGCCAAGACTGTTCTGACCAGGGCGGCTCAGGACTTCATGGCCTCCATGACAGCCATGGGGCTGTCTCAACATGTCATAGGCCCGATCCATGAATGTGGACACACGCTGGACCTGGTTTTCTTGATGAGGCAGGAAAAGGGTGATCTGAGGGTGAGGAATTTGTGTCTGACTCCCTTGTCATGGTCAGACCACTTCCTTGTGAGGTTTGAGTTTGATGGCGGCCTTTCCCTCTGTAAGAGTGCAGACCCTGTTGTGTTGGACTGCCCTCGGAGCCGGATGGGTCTGGATGGATTCCTGAAGTCTCTGGGGGATTTTCCGGTTGATAAAGCTGGAGCTCCTGTTGATGCTCTGGTTGAACTGTGGAGCTATTGACACGATCACTCCTAAGCATCCTCTCCTGCCCAGCAGAGCCCGTCCATCCCCATGGTACACATCTGAATTATGGGCAATGAGCTGGTTGGGAGACGTCTAGAGCATAGGTGGAGGAAATCACGGGATAAGTCTGACCGAACACGCTTATGAGCTCATTATCGAGCCTATGCTGTGGCGGTGAGGGTGGCGAAGAATTCTTCTCCACTTCCATTGCCTCCTCACAGTGCCATCCAACGGAGCTCTTTCGAGTGGTACATTGGCTAATACATTCTGGCTCTAAGAAAGATGCTGTACCACCTTCGATGGCCCGCTGTGATGACTTTGCCCAGCACTTTAAGGAGAAAATTGCTCAGATTCGTCATGAGCTGGACTCCACAAGTGATTCAGATCCTTTAGGGGAGATACCAATGACTCCATCTGGTCAGGTATTAATGGATGAGTTTCAGTTATTACGGCCTGATGATGTGGACAAGGTGCTTGGACAAGTATGTCCCACCACCTGCTTACTTGACCCTTGCCCATTGTGGCTGCTGACCAAAGCCAAACAAGGGATTGGTGCCTGGATCCTGGAGGTCATTAACTCCTCTCTGAGGGACGGCCGGGTGCCTGCCCCTCTAAAGGAGGCAGTAATCAGGACTGTCCTAAAGAAGGCGTCCCTAGATCCAGAGATGGCTGCCAATTATAGACCGGTGGCCAACATCCTGTTTTTGGGCAAGGTGTTGGAACGAGTGGTGGCGGGACAACTCCAAGCACTCTTGGATGAAACTGATTATCTGGACCCATTTCAGTCTGGCTTCAGACCCGGGTATGGTACTGAATCTGCCTTGGTCGCCCTGTTTGATGACCTGTGCAGGGAGAGAGACAGGGGGAGTGCGTCCCGTTGGTCCTCCTGGACTTCTCAGCAACTTTCAATACCATCGACCATGGTATCCTTCTAGATAGGCTGGCGGGACTGGGAGTAGGAGGCACTGCTTGGAGGTGGTTCTGCTCCTACCTCAGAGGCCGATTCCAGAAGGTGGTGTTGGGGGACTTTGGCTCTGCGCCATGGCAGTTATGCCATGGAGTACCACAGGGTTCCATTTTATGCTATTTAATATCTACATGA